TGAAATGTTGAATAAACCCATAATCCTAGGTCTTTAATATACTGCTTTTCTCAACTTATTTATTTTGTTAGTTTATTTAGTGTTGATTTTTAATTGTCTTTACTTAGTTTTTCTTCAATTTTCACATTACTTCAATAAGATTAATTTGTTTTATAATTTTAGTAATTAGTGAAATGTAACGACTTCTTCCCTTAATCGTTACCGACGTCCGAGACTTGCAAGTGAACCTACCAAATCCTGAACAATCCTTAGTTAAGCTTTCAAACAATTTAAACTCAACTTAAAATTTTAATGCTATAGTTCACTTAAACCAAATGAACACAATATTTAAAACGTAGCATCTAAATACCAATAACCAGGTTTAATAACTCCACAACATATTCAACATAATAAGTGATAATCATTATACAATCTCGAGATTTAGCAAATACATTTCCACAAACTATTTATCATTATAAGTCAAACTACTTGACACAACACGACCTTTGGGCAGCGGAGTGACTCGGAGTAAAAGTCTAAAAGATGCCATTACCTACGTTGCGGTTAGTCTCGATGTGCTGAGCGATGCACTTATACCGATTACTTATCTGTAAAAGGAAATAAGAGGGTGAGTCTCACAGACTCAGTGATCATCAACTCCGTGAGTAAGGCATAGATGGGAAATAAGCTAAAGGCAAAATATTTGAATCTTAAAAATATGAGAATCTATGTAACAAATTAACTTAAAAGGGGGGGTTTATGCCTTATATGTAAAACCAATAAGTGAATGCAAGATAGTCATTTAAATTAAATATCAAACCATTTCATGTAAAGATTTTTGCCATCAAAATCATTTAGCAACTGGCTTAAAGCAATTTAATATCACCATGCGTACTCCCGTAAAATCTATCATTAACAAAGTTTATATGCAAATTTAAAAATCACCTCGTATGAGAGGAATTAAATCCAATGTCATCGTATAAGTAAGGGAGTTGCAAGAAAACCGTTAATTCTCACCATGCGAAAAACTATGTGCGTGAAAACCCAAAGAGATATCATTCTCAAGTAGGAATAAAAATAAAGAATACGTGGACCCGCTTCCATGTAATAACATCCGGGAGCTCCACTCCACCGGATCCCCACATGCCAT